AAAACCCTCTCCCCCCCCCCCCCCACACACACACACACACACACAATCAACGAAACTTTGTATTATATGTGTAGCTCATATTTAGTTTTCATTTTCTACTATAGTGAACAATCCAAAGGAAAAATTGAATACAAGAGTTTTACAGGTGGCTTTGGCACGAGAATGATCTTGGCAGCGTCACCGTCATTTTCGTTATTTGTACGTGGACTAACTGTATTATCACTTGCAATAAAATTCTAGTAAAGTTCAACGGTCACAGATCGCTTTTCATCAGCGATGAAGGGGGGCAGCATGAGAATGGCAATTTTAGATTTTTTCCCTCAAGTGAGCTTTTCCTTGGCCCTCGGGAAATAATGCGCTACAGAGGGTTGGGGGTTGAGGGATGGGAAGGGAATAAATCGTAAAAATCGTATACCGAGAGGGTATACGAAAGAACTAAATTAAAATGAACAATTCATTCAATACATCAACTATATAAAAATAATGAAAATACGTGTGCGACACGATGTGACTAGATAAAAATAGTTGTACTATTTAAATAAAAAGTAAAAAAAAAAAAGATGAATTGATTATCGAAATGGAACATTGTTACAGCCCTGATGTCAAGCTATGAAGCAAAGTGTGGGTCTCGAACTGCTTGAAATAGCCGGCTTGCGTATCGTGTGGTGATGGCGAACGGTTGGCATGGCGCTGCTGCCTTGCCATCTCTTTTCATATATGTATATGTATATCTGCATTTTACCCTACTCGCATCTCAACGAGTTTTACAACGAGCAATATAATACAAAATACATATGAGTGTTGGCCGTTTGCGAATCACTCGTGCTAGTGTATTTTAGGTACATCACCAATCTTAAAACTCAGGTGCCTGCGCGTGAAAACCGAGCGCTTGTTCTCTAACGAGATATCATCCGGGACCTCGTACCTCACATTTTCTCATCTAATGTTTTGGGGTTGAGTTTGACACATGTGAACAAAAAAGGCCTGTGCATGCACCAAAAGTTGCATAGAAAATTTTTAATGGAAAAATCTATTAGTTTTTAGGCTTTATTCTAGTGAAGAATTACGCAGCTATACTGCGCGTTTTTTTTTATGGAAAATGTCATCGAAATTTAATTTCTCTATACAACTTTTTTTATTGAGATATTTCCTTTAAGAATTCGTCAACATGAATTTTAGAAAATTTATTTGCACACGTCATCGTTGATGTCAATGAATTCATCGAACTGCTGTGATTAAAACAATTGCTTCGATCATGAATTAACATTTTTATAGCAATATTCATCCAAATTTCGTTCTTTATAAAAAAAAAATCATAAATCCAAACTCTCCAACAAGAACATTAAAATTTCATGTCTGAGCACACTCGGAGACAACTACTTCCATGGCATTCCAACGCCACCAACGCACATCCAATACGCATATGTTACGTTCATCCAATCGCAACTCAATATTCATTGCTCACGAGGGGGGATGGAACTTTCCGTTCTTCTCGAGCCCTAATTCAATAATTGAACACGAAAATTTTTGATTTCCAAGTAACAATTTCTTGAATATTAGTTATTTTTCAGATTATTTTTATTGCATGTTTTTCTAATTATTTCAAACACTATTAAAATACATAAGAGTAAGCCTGCGGAGTGATTTTTCTCTCTCTCTCTCTTTCTCTCTGTGTTCCATTGTTTAAAGACGTAAAATTTCCGTTGAAAAAATATATGAATAAAACTTGAGAATCCTTTTTTTTGTTCATTCCACACGAGGAATGCAATTAGAAAAGAATTTTAATTGGCTCCAGACCAGTGAGTTTCTACTTTCTATCGGAATTGAAATTACATTGTATTTGTTTGGTACCTTGAGATTGAGATATTCGATAGGGCAATGTTTTACATCAATAATATGCTAAAAATAGTGAAAAGAACGATATTTTTGATGGAATTATTTTCTTATAAAAAGGCGCAGTAAAGCAACGGATTCCTTCAATAAAATGGGCCAAAAAGTAATAAAAATTTTCAATACAAGTTGGAAAAATAGAAAACCAATAGAATTTTCTATGGAATTGATCAAGTTTTGCTATGTGCGCTGAATAACATCCGCTTATTGCTTATCCCCAAATGGTAAATTTTACGATAAGACATAAATCATGTTCTATCTGTCAATTAAGAGCAATCTGGTCGATTCCAAATGAACAAATGGCGGGGAGTAGTGGAATGAACCTGGCGCGAGCAGTTCGATAGAGCACTGTGGTTGATGAGCGTCTAAATAAAGCACTCAAGAGCAATGGAGCAGAGTGAAATGCAATGAAATTCATCTGACGCCACGCGTGTATACCCTCCTCGTACATGCGATGAGAGTGACGTATCGGCGAATCCCATTGGAAAAATGTGCGTTATAAACGCGGAGGAGAGACAGTGAGAGAGAGAGAGAAAATTTTCAATTCCTTGATATTTGGAGATTTATTTCAAGGCCACCTACGGCATACACTGAGAGAAATGAATATTTTTCCAAGAGGAGGCCCCACTGAAATTTCAAAATCACAGTCCGCAAGTTTTTACTTTAATAATTTATGATGTAGTTGAATGTGACAAGAAAACATTAGTTACTTGGATGGAATAAAATTGCTTGGAATTAGATCGACCTGATGGAAATCATTGGGCTATTGTTTACATTACATTATTGTTTACAGTTAAGCAAACTCACCACTGTCGGCATAGGTTTCAGAGCCATATCCGTCCTGAAGACCACTTCCCCACGTGCCCTCGTATCTCGCGGTTGATGTAGTCGATTGTCTGACACCATATCGTCCTTTATATCCTTGTGTCCACTCACCGCGGTATAACCACCTTCCACGCATCTCCATACCCAGGCCGTGTCTTTTGCCGTTTTGCCATTGTCCCTCGTATGCTGAGCCACTTGAAAGGAAACACAATCAACGCAACGATAAATTAATTATTATTAGGTATAGTATAGTTGAACCGTTCATCCATTGACATTAATTAACATTTAAATCATCATATATCGACTTTTAGTAGAATCTAACGCAATTAATTAAAGAAAAAATATAATTCATATACGACTGAATACGGAAGCATATGTTAAAATTTTCAGATGAGTTTTTGCATTTAATTAAATAAATTAATATTGGAATGCCGGATGAGCAGTACACATTCATCAAGGGTGAAGAATCATCCTGCCCCACTCACAAGTGAAGAAACACAATGACCTCGACCCACTTAATGACACGAACATGGATTTTGGGGACAGATGAGTTGGAATTCCTACGCCCCAGTTTCACAAGGCGTTGAAACGAGAGGGTGAGTGGACGGTAAAGCTTTTTTAAATACGCCGGAAGTTTGTGCGGAAGATCGTTGACCTTCGTCTTGAAATAAAACATGATCCCGTGGCCTCCCCAATAATGGATTATAGTTTTAATCATGAAAAATGATCTTTTTCCAAATTCGGCTTATTCCGTGGAATATCAGTCGTTAATGTGTATTCATATGTATTCCCTTCCTCCGACCCCCAACTAATGGTAATAATCGATTCTTATCAAATCAAGAGAATCACACCAAAGTCAATTTTTTATCATGAGAATAATAATATAAATGAGTTTTATGCAAATTCATCTTTAAGAGGACTGAGCATTGAATGAATAACGGGAAATATATTCCATCGTTGAATTATTTTTCCTGGATAAATTCTTCACATCTGGCGAGGTCGGATTGACCTCGAACAACATTTGTCCTTGCACCCTGTGACCCAATTTTCTCACCCTACGATTTTCCCCCCTTCAGAACAAGGTGATGCGCCACCTTCCGCCGCCTGTCCCCTCGAGCTATGAAAAGATCTCAGGTCTATTTACTTTCGCTGGGGACAATTAACAGAAAATCTTTGAAATGTGACTGGACTGATCACATGTATGGAAATTTCAATAAAGAAAAAAGCCTAAAGCTTCTTGACACTTGGTTTTTGGCCAAGTAAAAATGGTGGCAATTTCTGTGAAAATTTCATATGAATACAATTAAAATGCACGTGCCAGCGCTATAATTTTTGTGCTGAAAAATTTCATTACCTGGGCCACGTGTAGACACCTGAGACTTCAAAGCCATAATGCCAACTGCCGGAGTAAGCTCCCTGTCCCTTGGGCCCAGTGCAGACGCCATGGCCATGGGCTTTGCCATCCTCCCACCCCCCGCAGTAAGTCCCGCCATCATCAAAATCAAACCTCCCGCCATTGACTTGTGTACGATTAGCGCCAGCAGCAGTCCCCGTCGCTGGACTGACCTGCGGGGGACTGATGCTTCCAGTAGCGGGCACCTGTCCCCCAGCAACTCCATTTGACGCTGGGCCAGTCTGCTGGCCCTGCTGGCCCTGCTGCTGCTGCTGCTGCTGCTGTTGCTGCATCTCTTCACTCAAATCTTTCCCTTCACTTTCACCAACCGTCGTTCCGCCATTTTTACCCCCACGTCACACGATTTTTAAATTCCTGGAAATAACTGAGTTTTATCATCTCCATTTAGAGAGAGAAAAAATGATCTGTTAATGCGTTTCTTTTTTCTCTCGATTTTAATTCTCTCAGGGAAATAGGGGACATTTGAAACCGCTTAGACTCGAAAGCTCGAAAGCTCGAGTTGTTTATCCGCTAGCTGTAACAGTTTAACAGTTTAACGACGAAATTAAAAAAATAGAGCGCATGCGCGAGACCTGGCGCTGCTTGCCGCAAGCACACGAAGCAACTTCTTCACCCACCGGTCTAACTGAAACGTTCGTTACGCAATGCTTCTATAAGCATCCGTGATCTGCTTGGAATGTCGTCCCGCATCCCTTTCTCCTTCAGTTTTTTTGCCCCCTCATGTATTTCAATACATAAAACATTCGCTCATTACGCCTCCCCTCCCCGCCCCTCCCCAACCCTTCCCCACCGCACCCCCTCCTCTATCAGAATCAATCAACATTGTACAATTTTTTCAACTCGACCAATGATAGCCCGAGATTGAACGGAATCATGTTTTTTCTTTTGTATTTATGAGCAACGGTTTAGCTAGCCTAGGGTTTCTATTTTTATCATGGGGTAGAGGCGAATTGTTTCACCGAGGCGCGTCTCACACACGCATTCTCGTCAATGCGACTCAACCGGGGTTCAAACTCATTTTATAAATAGTTTTTCGTTAATGTTGTATGTGTGTGTGTGTGTGGTTAACGAATTCTCGGCGGAATGAAGAATCGTCCATCATACGGAATTATTTTGATTAATTTTATTGATAAACTATGGAGAATTTGGAAGGTAGAGAGCGAAATTGTGTTTCACCAATATTTTTATTAGAATTTTCATTTTCGTAAAGTAATTTTTCACAAACAAATAGTAAAATTTCGGGAGGAAACGGATAATTTGTCGCATAACAGTTTGAAAATTATAAATCGCTAATTATTGGACTTTGGTGTTGTTTATTTGAGATCCAATCATGACAAATCAATGTGGATGCACGATATTATATTGCGTCACATTGCGCTGTCAAAGGCTGATGTCAACATTGCACTCATGACAATTTTAAAATGAAACATTCGCAAAGGAAGTTGATCCGTGGAATAATGGGCCAAGTCCATTTTCTCGCATGTTTCCACTGCAAAAATATTGCTGAGACTTATTTCGCAGAAACATCAAGGCTGGAATAAATTGTACATTCCCAAAATGCCATGTGGACAAACGTATCAAAATTTGTCATTTTTACCAAAAATTACATTACAAAAGAAGTAATTCACTCTTTTGCTCACACCTTCCCCGAAAAATACAATATTGTTAAAAATAAATTTAAAATAAAAAGTTTTTGAAACCGTAATTTTTTCCTCGTGTAAAAATGATTCATCTCCCGACTCACGTTGCACGAATTCCAAGAATTCCCTCTCATTTTTGTCACGGTGTAAAAATTAATTTGCTGATGCACTTGGGAAAGAAAAAAAAACATATTATTTCATCTGTCCTTGGCACGAAAAACACATGTTCCTTCTTCGATAATATTCACAAAAGATGGGCACACACATTCCTCACGTTGAAAATTCCCGTCTCAAATATATATGGAGATCGAGATTTATTATACACAAGACACTGTTGGGGTATCGAGGGGGAGGTGGAGTCTGGGTCAAGCACACTTTGTGTGGAGAAAAGTCGAAAAAACTGAAAATTTTTTTTTAAAAAACTATGATGGCTGTGAGTGAAGTTAGGTGAGGCTCGGGAAAATTCGGTCACGACGACGAGTCTTGGAACGAGTGTAACATATTTTCGATAAGGGTTGGAGGGTGGTATCGTTATATTAAAAATCGAGAGAAAGAAAAGGAACAGGGATTTTGGTGGAGCTCTATTATCCCCGAAACTCAATACCCTCATGGTGAGGAGCCGGGGTGGGGATTCGGGAGAGATCACAGCTTCCCAATGTCGTTTTCACAGAATTTCTCTATCAATTGGTTTCAGCAGTATGAGAGCTACGACGTTCACCTCGTTGCCTGGTCGTTCGTCGTTGCAGTTTGCAGTGTTACAAATATCATTCATCAGATGATTTTCTTAAACACTAGATTTATGTTTTTGCTAATGTAAATTTGAATCATAATTTATGAAAATGTTGATGGTTTTTATTGTTATTATTATTATTATTATTATTATTTTTGTCAACTTTTTCAATAGTTTTTAGGTTCGTTTTTAGGTATTCGACGTCGACTGGCGCGGAGTGTCACGAATGGTTGGTGCGTCAGGGTGGTGGCATGATTGCAAACTACCTTTTGGCTCGTTGGCGCAGCCCTCGAAGGCGTCGTCGCGACGCTTTTATATACATATATATATATATATATATATTGATTACCAATACATACGCATAGCTACTGATGTTGATAGACATGCGCTGTTTGATACCGGCTGTATTTCTATGAGGGACATCCTCGAGCCCAGTTGGAGACCACAGTCTCCTGTTTGGTGGATTAATCACTTTTCTCTCGGCGGATGATGCTGACCGAAGAACCACCGGCATCGGGAAATACGTCGAGTCTAATTTATTATATTAGGAATTCATAACTTGGTCTTGAAGGTATCCAAAAAAAAAAATACACATTCAAAGTATCATTATAATGTACATCCATGCAAGTCTTATTGTCTTCCCCAACTTGTATTTATTTTGTCTTACTAATTTTGCCTACTCGATATTGCTTTATTCTCATTATTCTCGTTAATAATGACTATGTAAAAAGCAAGATCAAGGTCACTATTCGATAATAAACCATTGATATCGTAACAGCTGTTTTTAAATACATTAATCTTCCAAACTGCCAGCGTCACCCAATTAAACAAATATTTTCCATCCCATTATCATTTGCCTTCAGTCCCCTCTGGTAAAAAACCGATACCAAAAGTCATCGAGACTACAAAATACAATGCAGAAGGAAGTCAGTTAAAATCAGGGTCTTCGATGACAACACAACGGGGTCAACGTTGGGTGTATCATCAGTCTTCACGTCACCTTTTATCAGAGATACCTCTGGCAAAGAAGCATGTGATCGAGCGTATCATAACGACTATTGCAAAAAAATTATGAAATCCCACTGATAGCTCCTATTTTTGGTACACCACACACACACACACACACATACACACACAGCAACAACAATATATTTAATTCATTTGTTATTTCGACCGAAAAAAGACTTGCCATTGATTTCTTCTGACAACCGTATGACTTGATTCGATCCAAAACTACACAATTAAAAGACAAATTGGAGAAATATTTATCCTGGGAATACTGTATGCAACCAGTTTAACACAAGAGTATTCAATGGGCTTCATGTGGGCTTTATTACATACCGAGTGTCATATACAAACATTTTGAAATAAATTTATGGATTGTATAGTGTCGATCGGCATTTATAAACCTGATTTTTTTCATTGCGTTGTTTCATATCTTGATAACAATACGTACAAAAAAGAAAAGGATATAATATTTTCCTATTGAAAAATATATTATTTTATAAATAATATTTTTATTCTTTAGTTGATGTACACTACATTAACACGTTGAGAAAAATACAATTTGCATATCACCTTATAGAGGAAAGTGTCTTTAGTGTGGAGAAAACCCCATGCAAGGGCTTCATATTTCAACCGGTAATGGAATTAAGTCCCCTGTCAGTGTCGATTTACCTGAAGTGAAATCTGCCCGGCACTCGCAGTAGTAGTAGCGAGCACTCGCGAGTACTCAGTCAATCATCTCCGGCGCCGGATTCTACTCTACAAGATTAAATATTTCCGGTATCTATTCGCAGTCAGTCAGCTAGAGTCACACTCTAAATCTTGAAAACTTTCATCAGACATTTTTCCGATTAGTAATAATCTGCTGCGATTGCGTTACTTTTATCACCCCGACACGCGTGCAATTAATCTTATCGTCGTTCTTCTCTATGTTATTATAATTTGAAAAACTGCTGGCACGACGGTATATATTGAGCTGATTAGTATGAGCGAAGGATCGAGTCCAAGTGCACCAATGGACAGCATGGACGTACTTGAGCTGAATTTTCTGACAGTGCAGTTGGGCGATGAAAGCCTCAACAAAATTAAAAATAATAATAATAATAAACGAAACGACAGTGAAAGGATAATCAGCCTGAATCAATTGTCACGGCATGACAGGCATGACGACTGCTGGATCGCTGTTTACGATCGAGTTTATGATTGCACAGAGTTCATCGCTAAACATCCCGGAGGGCAGGACGTTATTCTGGAATATGCCGGAAGGGACGCGACTCTTGCCTTCGTCGGCTCGGGACATTCCGCAGAGGCTACAGCCATTCTTCAGGATTATCTCGTGGGTCAACTGCCGCCGAATGAGAGATTGTTTGTCGTGCCTGCTAATGACATTGAAATTGTCAGAAAAGACTCCATGTGAACCACATCTGTGTAGCTGTGAATATGATGAAAAGTATTTCAATTTAATCTATAATTTTCTTATGTGACATATTATATTTCATATTACATAATTCATCGATAAGTATTGAATAAATTATTTTCTCATTTTTTATTTATTTATTTTCTTTATTTATTAAAGAAACCCAGCGATTATAAAAATAGTCGACACTTTTTTGAGTAATTCTAATAATTGATATCTGATTAAAATTTTAATTAATGGCCATGGGTAAAGCTCAACAATAATACTTACAATATACATTTGAAAAAAAAAAGAAAAACAACATTATCAAGATGGAGCTACAGATGGACCCCAATAGATGGCACCCTAAAAAGCGCAGAAAAACCCGGCCCATGGTAACTTAGCAACAACACCATAACCTTTCGTAATAAATGCTCAAAATAGTAAAACATTGGAAGTGTAGTAGTGTAGAGTGTTTTGCTGTGATCGAGCACAAGTGATCAAACGTAAAATATTATTGATTATTATCCCTGAAAAAATGCACCTTATAAAAAACATCATTTCGATGCCGTTATTCAGAGGAAATACCTGTCTCTTAAAAAATCTCACTTCATCACCGAATTTGTGCACAAAAGTTGCAAATGAAGGGGAGAATGAGGTGCAGTCAGCAAAGCCGAATGTTCAATTGGGTGGATTTGCAAAGGCATTCGAGAAATTTAATGCCCCTGAGCCACAAGAGGAACCCAAGCAGAACCCGAGTTTCGCTAGTCTCTTGAGGAATTCAAAATTCATTGATGTGAGTCGATAAAGCGAAATATGGGAGACAACTTTTCAATGAAAATATTAATTAATACAACCAAGACAATTAATTGAGTATTGTTATTCTTTACTACTATCTAATCAGACCTTGTCTGTTTATGGTGATTATTATATGCAGATGGGTGCCCCGGAGGGAAAAATAGTGACAGGAAAGATATTTCAAGTCGTGGATGATGACTTGTATATCGACTTTGGCTGGAAATTTCACTGCGTGTGCCCCAGACCTTTCAAAAATGCCCAGTAAGCTTTAACAAAGAATAGAAATTATTATCATTTTCTTATTTTTACACGTTGGATTGTAGGGAGTACGTGAGAGGTGCATCTGTACGACTGCGGGTGAAAGATCTGGAGTTGTCGGCAAAATTTCTAGGTGCTAAGACGGAACTCACTATATTAGAAGCTGATTGCACCTTGCTCGGATTGATCAATAGCCCAGCGAGGCAAACGACAACATAAAATTGTTCCTTCCATCATAGTTCTTTGTAATAAATCATTTCTTCTTACCAATGTTCTTGTTCTTGTTGTTATTGTTAACAACTATGTCATTATTTTATAGTGGAAACTGCATTGAAAAACATTTGTTTATAAGAAAAAAAAGACTTTTTCAGAGGAGATCTGCAATATCGAGCCCTGCTTAACCACCTCATCACAATTTCCGTCGCCATTTTCCCTAGAGTGTGTTCAAAACGGAATGTGTCCATCTGAGATTGTACAAACGACCCCCCCGCCCCCCGCGAGCACGGTTGGCGCTACACCCCACCACACTTCATGGTTATAGTAGTGTGCACCTTTGGAGCAACTCAGCAACTTCGAACTCGGAATAAAACAACGTACTCCGGCCCGGATCATTTTCATATACGCAGTGGTTTAAAGTGCTAATCCCCAATACAATCACCAGATAAAGCTCCAAAAAACCAAAAACATAAGTTGTCGGCCGAAAGACCCCCCAATGAGCTCAGCACACAGGGCAATCCGCCGCCACAAATCATGACTGCGAAGACGATGATAACCACACACACAGGCGGATGTTTGTTAAATGTGTAACTTGTATATTTGATGGATGTGTGAAATTGTGAGGGAGTCGCCAGTTTTGTCGTCGAGTCCAAGTGGGAGTCAGTGTTTGGTAGAATAATAAAATCAAATTCATATAACACTAGATGTGCTAGACGTGTTGTGCCATTAGCCTCAGGCAGCCCTCGTTTATTTTCCCTCTTCGTAACTACAACTTGCAGCAACGACAACAACAACAACAACAACAATGAAACAATATGCGAATATGCATCAATTTTTTGATTATTATAATATAAGAATAAGAATACACATGTACACGTGTGTGGAGGGTGTATATATTATTATATATAAATATAGATTGTGCAAACTGCTGTCACCTTTCGTGCGCAATTTGTTGGTAACGAAATGATTGGAAAATTAACGAGCTGGCTCTGGGGAGAATCGGAGCTGTTGTCAGCATTTTTTGTTTTCTTTTGTCACAGATCGAGTGATTGAATCGGCTCGGCAACGATGAGCGTCGTAGCGGCGTCTGGCAGTCAACAAGTCGTGAAGGAAGGATGGCTCCAGAAGAGAGGTAATTGGAGTTGTATTTGTTTTTTCAAGCAATCCTGTTATTCAATAATTTTTATATAAATGAATTGAATTTTCATTTTTAAATTGACAGGGGAACACATTAAAAATTGGAGATCGAGATATTTCGTGCTTCGGGATGATGGGACACTCGTGGGCTTCAAATCAAAACCCGATCAGCAAATGGCAGCAACAGCACAACCGCTTAATAATTTCACTGTGCGGGGATGTCAGATCATGTCCGTTGACCGACCAAAACCCTTTACCTTCGTCATTCGGGGATTGCAGTGGACTACAGTTATCGAGAGGACATTTCATGTGGAGACTGAGCAGGAGAGGGAGGATTGGGTTGCAGCAATTAGGTTTGTTGAGGAGTAATAGTTGCAAAACTATAAAAAACTATAAAAAACAATAAATCAAGAGTCTCTTTTTTTTCTTTTCCCCCTGTACGTAGATACGTAGCCGATAGATTAGCTAGTGAAGAACAACACTTACAGCAACCCTCAATGCAACTATCATCCTCATCTGAAGACGTTGAGATGGAAACGACTGGTGGTGGTGGTGGAAGATCAGACTCTGGCAGTTCCCTCGGTATCATCTCGACCGATGGTCATGGCAGTATCGACGAGCTCTCAGCTAAATTCAGCGTGCAGGGAACATCGAGTAGTAAAAGCAGTGGCAAGAAGAAAGTCGTAAGTTTTGATAAGCTAAAAAAGAACAATGAAAATCATAAAGAAAAAAAAAGTGTTAATGACTTTATTCAGCGAAAAAATGTAATTCTTTACTTCAGACTCTGGAGAACTTTGAATTTCTAAAAGTCCTCGGCAAAGGTACATTCGGAAAAGTCATTTTGTGTCGTGAGAAAGCCACAGGTCATTTATATGCCATCAAAATACTGAGGAAAGAAGTGATCATTAGAAAAGACGAGGTTGCCCACACATTGACGGAAAATCGGGTATTACGTACTACAAGTCATCCATTCTTAATAGTAAATCAACTTTACATTGTTTACATTGTTTACATTGTAAATGAAATCACCTACTTGTAACAATTGATAATTGTTTGCAGTCTCTCAAATACAGTTTCCAAACAGCAGATCGACTATGTTTTGTCATGGAATACGTCAACGGTGGAGAGTTATTTTTCCACTTGAGTCGCTCGCGAGTGTTTGGAGAAGACAGAACGAGATTCTACGGAGCTGAGATTATATCAGCCCTTGGGTATCTTCACTCACAAGGCATTATTTATCGTGATCTCAAGCTCGAGAATTTGCTTCTCGATAAGGATGGACACATCAAAATCGCTGATTTTGGACTATGCAAAGAGGACATTACCTATGGTAAGAGAAATATAATAATTTAAAAAATTAAAAATGAAGAATGCTTGTTTTTATTGTAATAGGAAGAACGACGAAAACCTTCTGTGGGACACCCGAATATCTGGCACCGGAAGTGCTCGAGGATAATGATTATGGACGAGCTGTCGATTGGTGGGGTGTCGGTGTCGTTATGTACGAGATGATGTGCGGACGTCTTCCATTTTACAATCGTGATCATGAGAAATTATTTACACTCATACTGTTAGAGGAAGTCAAATTTCCAAGGACTATCTCCAATGAGGCTAAGGATCTGCTTGGTGGTGAGTAGACAAAATACTTTCTCCAACTTGGCTTTCACTTTTCTTTCACATTTACTTGGTTTAAAAAAAAAAGTCTTTAAACACCTAAATTATATCCAGGTTTATTGATCAAAGACCCAAGTAGACGACTAGGTGGTGGTCCAAACGATGCAAAAGACATAATGAGCCACGCATTTTTCTCATCAATCGACTGGTCAGACCTTGTCCAGAAGAAAATAGCTCCACCATTCAAGCCTCAAGTAACTTCCGAAACCGACACACGATACTTTGACAGTGAATTCACTGGTGAAAGTGTTGAATTGACTCCCCCAGATCAGGGATGCCTAGGTAGTGCTGGTGGTTTGAACTCAATCGCCGAAGAGCAAGAACATTTTCCCCAATTTTCTTATCAAGAGAGTCACTCGGCTGCTACATCTTCCATTTCAGTGTCAATCACCCACTGACCTACATTGTCAGTGGGTGATTGTTTAACAATTCTACAAGACAATGATAAAACCAATAAGAACAGAGTATAAGTTTCGTTTGCTGCATGTTTTATGGTTATTTAAAAAACCACGTATGAAAAAATTTGATTGAAAAAAATTTACTACTTTCTTGAACAAATTCTATAACAAATTTCATTTATTCCTTGCGCCAATTCTATTCAAGATTATGCATTTTTACTCTGTCATTTTGTTAAAACATTAACATTTTCATTTTCCTATAAAAAAAAACAAAAACTTTTTTGGGCATAAATTGTCCAAGTTTTATTAGTTTATCATAATACAATGCAAGGAAAACAAAAGAAAAAAAAAACTTGTGAAATTCTTGTTCAACAATTGTTATAGAAATAATCGCAATGAAATGCATTGAATGGAAAAATAAACATGTATATACATGTTTTTTCTTTCAAGTTACATAATTTTTAATACGATTGGTGCAAAAAAACCAATAGAATTTTCTAATAGAAAAGTTGAATAGATTTTTTTGTTAAATCTTTGCATACGTGATTATTCGGTTATGAAGGTAATTATGTTGTTGTGTATGTCCGTAATTAATGGTACCTTATCGTGTACGTTAAGATGAATCAATTGAAAATTGAAATGAAAATTAATTGTAAAAAGAAAGGTAAATTTTGCTGATGAAAGGCTGGGCGAATGAATAATCAGTTACATTGGTGCATTTTTTGTTTTTGTTTCTATTTTGTGGTAACAACAACTATGTAGCATACAAAAATGAAATGAAAATGGTGAGAATGAGATGAATTATAACCATAGGAAATTGAATATATTATACGCTACTATAATTATATATTATAAATATATTTATATTTTAACAATTAAAGTAATTACAATACGGTGGATTGTTGTCGTAATTTTATTTCGTCCATTTTCTCACATTGAAAATAATATCGTAATTTTGATGTTTCATTATTATTATTATTATTATTATTATTATTATTATTTTTATATGATGAGGATATGAGGATATGTTGTTTGTTTAAAACTTGTACCTTTAAGAGTCCATGATGTTTAGTTTGGAGGATATTGGGGGACTGGGGTGTCCTTGATCATCCAAACTTGGTCGAGAACAGCGCCAGCTTTGTCGTCGGAGACCTGAAAAATGTAAATTTATGTTTAAGATTAAGAAAATAATTGCCAAGTGTTTTGTGACATTTCAGTTACTAGCAATTTTTTAGGGTAATACCTGTTCTAAATACAAATGTGTCTTGTTGAAGACTTTCATTCTGGTGTATCCGTAGTCAGCGCTACGAAATGCCGACCAATAAGGTCTCTTTGGTATAAACTTCTCTCTACCCTCCTTGCAACCTGCTGAACCTGTTACTATGTGGACAGGTGCTTTGTAGTTGTTGTAGGGCTTCTCGTAACTTCCGTTCATAACTTTGAAATTGTACATGGGAAAGAGTCTCTCGTAGCTGTGCTCGTGGGCCCACAGCTGGAGGTCCACTCGATGCTTGTAAAGGAGATTTTCGAGACCGAACCAGTTGAGGAATGGAAGTCCAACTCTGACGAGGGACTGATGATTGGTGCAGTCGTCAGTGTTTGCATTGCTGCAGTACATTGGACGGTGGCCAAACGTTACAATCCATGGCCTCACAACTCTGCAATGATGTATTCATTTTTTCAATGTTAATTTCTTAGAGTGAGAGAGAGAGAGAGAGAGAAAAAAAAAGAACTCACCTTGCAGCTGGTTCATTCGCCCTCTTGAGATCCTCATCGAGCCACTCAAACTGCTTGACCAACTGCTTGATACCATAGTTCATGAAATAATAAACCTCAGTATCAATGGCTATAAAATGCACTGGCCCCATATCGAAACTGTACCACAGCCCCTGTGAGCTTCCTGGCATGGAGAACCTGGCTCTATAATTACTGAAATTATATTTCTCCTCGTGGTTCCCAGGGACCGTCATGTATGGCAAGTAAGCAGCGATCCCTTCAATCTGCTTCATGAATTGATCCCCAACTCTGGCCTCATCGGTATCCATGTCGTAGGCAAAATCCCCGACATGGATCGCGGCATCATAGAGGCCCCGTTGAGTCTCTTCTTGGAGTCTGGAGAGACTCTGGGCATTCTCATTCCCCATGTCCCCGAAAATCACTATCTGGGGGGTCCAAGTTTTCGAGTCTGGGGGAGTTGTCACGTAGAAGATATTCGACCAGCCAAATTTACTACCGCAATGATATACTGGAGACATGAATGGAAAATTGTGACAACTACTGGTCAATCTCACTCATGTATATGAGATTTCAAGTTTGTAAAATTTGCTCACTGTATTTCTGCCCCGGTGTTAGATCCCTCAAGTACACCCTATGGATGTACTGATGACGTTTCTGCTTTCCTTCATCAACAAATAGAGTAGAATTTCCTTTAGCAGTGAAACCAAACGCTCCAATTCCATATTCGACAATGGATTCTTTGGTATCATCTTTTGTACTCCAGGTTACAATAATATCACGAGTGGTATCTAAAAAAAGACAAAAGCATACAAAAAAAATTGTCAATATTCCGCCGCCGAATTTTATTCAAATATCACATAACATAATATTTTTTTTGCAAAATTATTACTCAATTGATAAATTTGGCCATTGAAAATTTTTGATGAATGCGGGTGTATGTGATTTGGTACCTCCAAAAGACAGATGTACTGCCTCAGGTTGATACTTGACAACGGACGCCCACGCACAGCTTGTAAGGCTCAATAAACCGACTAATACCGACCACATCTCGCTGAATACTGAAAACAATTGCCACCAGACACACGTAGAGGATCAAATTCCTGAAAACAATGAACAATGATTGATTAATCTATTCCGAGTAAAAAAACAAAGGAATTATATCAATGGATGAGCTCGCTTTAGCCCTGGAATTTCCCACAATATTCAATGCACCAAGTGTCACATCTCACCTCTCAAATATAATATCACACTTAATATGCTGTAGAACATGAGTTTCAACGAGTTGGTCCCTTCAAATATTCACATTGCGTGAATAATGAAGAGGAATTTGACGCTATGTCAGAACGATGACAGGCCAAACACTGACACTACACTGTGCTCAGTGATCACAGTGTTGATGACTCAAGCCACTAAACAAATCCCTGACATTGTTTCCGCCAATCAGATGGCTTTTGACAATGGAAGCCTGGACGATGCTCACGTGATTGGAGGGCATTAAGGTAAAGTTAGGTTCATTCAACATCACTATTCACTTTATTTTTTTTAATTTCCAGTAAAAATCTCAACAATAAACCTCAATGAATATTTAGTTATTATGAACAACCTGCAGCAGCTGCGTTCAAATTAGTGTTGAGAGGGAGAGAGAGAGAGAGAAGAGAAGAAGCAGTAATTTTCAATTAAATTCTGTAACAATGGCCTTCGATTTTCCATTTAACCGAGTTTAACGTGAATGAGAATGAACAATAGTTGACATGGTTGCCTTTGTCATTTTGTTGATACTTTTTTGATCATGCTGTATGCATGGCATGAATGGGTGAAACTGTCGTCACAATAAATGCCGCTGATGATATTATAGCCATATCTGGGACATGGATGGGAGAGTAAGTGGGTCTCAGTGACTCGATCCTCAATATTGATCTCTCGACACTCTTTTTTTTTCTCTCTCTCTCTCTCTCTCTTGGTACTTTCACGCCAATTGGCGCGCTGCATTCAAACCCTCCATACTATCGTTCCGACAACATTTCATAAAATCATTTATTAATTTTTCAATTTGATAAAATTGTATAAATATGCTGTACATGGCGTTGTTATATACGCTTTTACTTTAATGGATGACTCATCGTTACCTCGTTTCATCATACTTTTACGATGGAAAGGAGAACACACGGAGCAAATATTTGCCTTCATTTGAGTTTTTAGGTAAATGAATATTCATTGAATAAATTGAAATAATAAAGCTAATAAAGTCAAAGGTGGAAAGTCAATTGGTTGGCATTAAAAAACGACGAAACTAACAATAAAGCCATTGAGTCCATTGAATGAGGTTTCGATTTGATAATGAAAGGACTCCCTACGTCACGATCCTCCAGGAGAGATAAGATATACTTGTAAGTGACAAATACGCAGACGCCGCGCATCCCTCCATAAGTCCGAAGCAACCCCTCGATTCCTCAATTCCCAGTGTCCAGTGTCGGGTTGGTACCCACCGACGGTGGTCGATGCGCTTCACCCCCTCACTGTATCACCTGGTATCACCCAAAGGGCGTTCGTCGCGCAATTTAAATCTAAACGTGTTTCGGAAAATCCCCCACCGCCAGCAATTTACCCTAGTGATATGGCATCATCCCTGAAGATGATGGATTTTCTATCGCTAACCATTTACCTGACATGGAAATTTTGAACATCATCATCACAGTGGAACAACAACTCATGAGACTATTTTCCAGCATTGATAGACACATAACATGATGGGGCCCACTGACGGGCCCCCCCGCCCCTCGGTCGTTTTTCAATAATCATCCATTATTTCTGGAGTATTAAAAATAAAAACAAGCTCAATGAAAATAATGGTGTTTTTTCTGACAAACGCGCCTTCTCGTGGTTCGTCTCGAAGCGTGTGTACTGTGTATGGTCGCGCGCGCGCGCCGATATCCATCCCATGGTCGTTATTATGCGCTCGGGGTCAGTGAGATAAGTGGAAACACTCATTATTTTATACCTTCCCACGTACCGTAAACACTAACTCGTGTACGCAATAATGACGATAAATAGTTGATTAAATTCTTCGACTGAAATTTCAGTATTATTATTATTATTATTATTATTATTATTACTATAATATTATTAATTTATTAAAAAATAGTATTATTGTGATTGTCGATGCTGGGGGTGGATGGTGGTGGTACGTAATGTGACAGTGATGAGAAACGTGCTATCTCGGTCGTGATGATGCTTGTGTGATCCTTTTTTTATTTATCCACTCGATAAGATTTGCTAATATGCCAATTTACAATTTAATCTTCCGATGATTCTTCGTGCCAATAATTTTTATCATAATTTTTTAAAGTTCATTGAATGATGGGTGTCGATGGGTCAATAAGGGAATATCAGAGCGTTCGGCTGATGATCAATTTAATTGAGTGCTAGGATTATTACTATCCATTTTCATTCGATAGAGGCTGCAATCATGGTCGACCTTGGAGGATACATCATCATTCTCATGAATGATAATGGCAAGATCAAACTGTATGGTAAGTGTGCTGCTGTGCTGTGCAGCTATTACTCCGTAATTGCAGATTTCGCGGCGACTCTTCTGGGAATTCAGAGGGGTGCAATTGCAATTTTGCCATGATTATTCAACGATTCATCAATTTTCATGGCTCAAATTGGTGGAATATTTCGAGAATTATGAGTCATTTCGCCAATTATGGGGAATCGGGGGGAAAATGTCGTCGGTATGGTATTTCCAAAATGTCGAGTAATGTGATATTTTATTCTTATAGGACGTATGTATTCAACAGGTTGATTGTTGATTGAACATATTGATAATTCGGTGGAAAAAATTGAAATAATAATATACTCATTTGTACAAAGAAGAAACAATGTTTTACTATAAGAATTTTGACAATTCAATGAATTTTTGAAAACCAACAATTGAAAAAAAAAAATTTTTTTAAGCAATCCGAAATATATATCATTATTTTCCATTTCTCTCAGTAGAAATGGGATAAATCTGTTGGAAATTGCAATATTTTTTGAAAAAAAATTCACAAAAAACAATAAAATTCTATTAGTAATTATTGAAGGAAACTATATTAAATTCCCTCGAAATTACACAATAATTAATTAACATTAATGTAGGAAAAAGTTAATAACCACCAAGATGATACATGTATTTGCATGAAATAATTGCAGGATCATCAGCGGATAATGCTGATTACCCAGAACTGGGGGATGAAATTTTGGAAGTCAACGGCCGGACACTAGAAAATGCAACTGATACCGAAGTTAGTCAGCACATTCTTCAGGTAATAAAACATTCTCTTATTATTACATTACGATAATAAAAGAATGTAAAAAAAAGAAACCACAACTCCGTAGAGCGGAAATTTTTTCTTTATGCAAGGCAAAAAGCGACTCAATGCGATTTATTTCCACAATTTCCACTTGATTTCAGTGCATCAAATCGGGGACAATAAGCCTGCAGGTGACGCGCCGAACGGGCAACAAAATTAGTAAGTCAGTGAAAAAATATCTTGTCTGAAAAACAATTTGAATTATTGGATAAAAAACAGCTTCTAATGATGAATCCACACATGCCTCGCAGTGGCTCGTAGCAACTCGTGTATTTCCGTCCGTAGTTCCACCTTGGCCAGGTAAATATTTCTCCTGTGGTACGTCTCAGGTGAGCAAGAGAGAGAGAGAGAGAGAGAGAGAGAGAGAGTAAAGGATAAAGCAACTATGGAGTCGTTACGTTGTGTTAAACCGGCGAGAATGCAACCTTCGGTCCTTTCCTGGTCTCAGTAACTCCGCGATCATTGGCACGGGCTCTCGCGGTTTCTTCATTAATTAATCATTAATCGCATCGAGGGGAAATAATTTGTTGATTGTTCCACCGAGTGCTTGTGACTTCCGAAAGGTGGAGATTTGTGCTAAATATCATCACCATTCGCACCACGTATGCAACATGGATTATGCACGTTATTCTCAATTGATAATAATTGCCCGTTAACTATTCTAACGCAGGTGAATAGTTCCCTTGTCATAGTAAAACGTTCATATGGAATTTCCAATAATCTCCTCATTCTTTTCGCATATGTGTATGTCAACACGTAATACAGCTGTGCTAATTATTCTCTATGAAACATGAGACGTAACGAACATTGCGAGCGAATTTCCGCGAGAAAAAAAACGGTCATTATTTCGTGAAAAAAAAAATCGGAAAAAAAATCGAGGAATCACTCCCGAGGGGAGGCGGTGCAAGAGCAATATGAAGAAGAGAAGAGTACTTAAAAGCTATTTTCAATTGTTACTCGACTAGAGACCACTCGTCAAGTGCATTTGTTGAGTGTCATTTTCACTTTTCAACAATTCCATTTGACGTCATGTCACTGCCGATGTGGGGTTTTCTGAAAATTTTTAAAATATTTTTTACCACCGGTGGTACGTGCCGAGCTGACCTTTTACCACTAATCAGTGGATGTCGAGTTGGAAAGTGAAGGTATAACGGATTTTAACGAGGTCACTTCTACATGTCACAGATGTAATAACCAATGTTTTCATGCATTTGATGATGCACAATGGAATTGTTTTCATTTAGTTAAGTTGATCTGTTTGGTTAATTCTGCTCGACTCCGCGAGGGTCTCGTCTAGATTTTTATCACACAAAGTGGAGAGGGAAAGGAGAGAAGTGGTTTGTTATGTGCCCACTGTAAAAAAAATGGCAAATATTTTTCCTACATTAACTTGAAAGAGTGTTGTCTGAGCGTTTGTGTGCGCGAGAAGAGTTCTGTACAGTTATAAAACAGGTTTGGCGTCTCCTTTCCTTGTATATGATATGATGATATATCGTGACGCTCCGTTTAAAGCTGAAGAACTCACAGGATAGGTATTCTATTGGTTCCAATATAGCATTTATGATTGATAGGTATTTCTCGATATACTATAGTTCTGGAGTCTATTGATAGTTTTGTTGTTCAATGGTATTGACAAACTCATTGCATTGCATATTTTCTCCCTGGGAAAAATATAATGAGTCTACTGAAATAATTGCAATATTAATATTTCATGACTTGAATTCCATTGTAACGGGATTGATACTTGTTATGGTTCTTCTGACACTAATTCCACGGGTATTATTGACTGTTTCGTTGTTAGTATAGCAATGCTATTGGTATAGATGTCAATAGCAGTGATATTATGAGCCTGAAAGCCTCATTTAACGCAACTTTCTGCTTTCCTTGCTGTCATTTTAAAATAAAAATGTTCAATGAAACCTATTTCATAATAGAAAAAAATCAATAGTCAGTCATAAATAGACATTGGCCAGCTCGGAATAAAAAAATATCAGATACATGGAATATTTATTTTTCCTATGAAATTCTTTAATGCTTGCTAGGTCCTTCTCGTATGTGTCGCATTCTCTTATGCAATGACTTGTCGTTAATTAGTGATGAATCTCAGCCGCAGTATGTTCCACATTTTTCTTCAGTGCACTCATTACATACTACAGCCAGATATCCTGATTCACTCCGAAACAAGGCTTATTCCGTGATGATATTCCTTTAATCCAATCGATATAGTGGAGGGAAAATGTCGCTGACGTACATTGAACCAAGCGCGAGAGCGAGAGTCTCATCGTCGTCTCGTGTTATTTTTTCCTCTCCTGCGTTTTTTCTTTTTTTTATTTTTTTTTATTTTTATCGCTCAGAGCCGTCGCCATCCAAATATAAAACCAAGCCTATCTGCCTTGGCCAAAAGCTCAGTCGACATCAATGGAGATGATACATTCGACATTGGGTGAAGCTAAAGCTCGGGATTATTTGGATTTTTTCCGGGGAAAAAATGCCGGGGGTGTGGCAGGCTGCGACTACCTGTTATCAGATTGTTGTTTCAAAGTTGTTGTACGGGTGCAGGCGCGCCAAAAATGACGATGACTCGGGCTCGAATATTGTTGGTGATTGTGGTGATGGGAGGGAGTGGGGGAGTGGGGAGAGCAGCCCCAGGGATAATTGCCCCAGCTGGTATTTCAATCTGGATGATATCAAATTTATTGATGATGATGATGATGATGATGATCGTGGTGGTTTAAAGGGTATTTCGTGATAACAAATTTACCCATTTTTTATTCGTTTTGTTGTGTCTCGGTGGATCAGACCGATCAGCATGAGATCAATTATAAGATCCAATGATTCAAAATTGCATTGAAAAACTTGGCCAAGTCACTAGAAAATTCTATTGCAAGAGTACGGAACGTTTCTGTAGAGAAAAAGATATTTTCTATAAAAATCACTTAGCTTAAATTGTTCAAGAGAAATAGAGTGTAGAAATAATAATTAAATTGACATTTATAAAAAAAAACTCTTTATTTCTATTGTTAATTACTTTTTGACCTGCGGCAGAAGAATTGGACGGGCCAAATGCAGAGAGAATACGAGATGCCTGGGTAATTGCACTCGAGAGGTAAGTACCACTTAACATTTGCAAAAATAAAGTAATTTCACATGACAAAGGAATGAAAATCATTGCTTCTAGGGGTGCTCGAGAGCGACTGCAAAAATTACCGGCACTGAAGAAAATTCAACCGAGGGATATTCAGGCAATACTTCATCAACAGGTAAAAGTCAGGAATGAAAAATTATTCATATAACTGCATTCGTATGTTTCGACCGCTGGAGACAACATTTCATTATAAACATATTGAGGATTTCTAGCTATTTTTCTGGGATAAATGATAAGTTTCGCAGAAAAACGACAAAAATTGATCGTTCAGCATGCACAATAATAACGATAATTTCCCTTCATTAATATTTTAATATAAAATATACTGATTTAACATTCATCTATGAAATTTTTTCTTAAAACGTTATAGATAAAATAGAATTTTAATATTTTAATGAAATAACGAGTGAAAGATTCCTTTCATTATTTATCTGATTTAGAGGGGAAAAAACACGTTTATTTAAAAAAAAAATAATGATTAATATTACGTTTTGGTGAATGATAGATTTGAAATAGTATTTCCACTTTATCTTTACAGCATAGCCTCTCCTATTCCGTACCAAATTAATGCACATAATATTGAGCCATGGATGAAGCTATCGCACGATAACTTATCTCTAAATCTGTAATTGCATTCCACTCAATCCCTCTTCGGCTGTACAAACTAAAACGTATTTCCCGAACAGTTACCTAACGACAGCTCATGAATCTTTTATGCATGTCTGACAATTAATCTGTCATGTCGGTTTCCTCCTCAAATATTTCAAACGCAGAACAGGAGTGAAGAGTATTTTTAGCAAGCGATGATCCTCACATTTTCATCAGCTATGTTTTGAATTTTTTGACGAGAAAAAAATTATTAACAATATTGGGGCTATTTGGGATGTACAGATAAACGAGGGCTCAGCCTCTACGAGTACGGGTGAAACCCCTGAAAAAGACGTGACCAACAGCCACATCACTGTTACTTTGGCAGATGGGTAAATAATATCCAGTTATTGTGGATTTGAGGATGTCCATGTACTTTGAATAATTCTTTTTGTTTTCCTCCAACATTTCATTTCTCTTGTTCAAAATGAAATGTTTTTTTTCTTTTTCTTTTTCAATTTTCTTTTTAGTTTTAAAACGTTAAATGGAGGAGAAAAATTGAGTAAATCTAGTGGTATTTTTTTTTGCATTTTTTATTAGAATTTTGCACTGAAAAAATTCAACTTTTTGTGAAAGATTTTATGACTCTGATCTCCTTTCACAAATAATGTACAATTTCAAAAACTAATTGTATCGCAAAGTGTAATTTTTGAGAATGACAATCTCTCTTATAGTAAATAATTTCATGCAATTCAATTGACAATATATAGAATTATAGTAGAATATTGGCAAAGAAACTGTCACAAGTACTTATGGCTATCCTCAATATAATTCCCTTTTGGAATGATGTAGTGAGTTCGATTATTGCAATGCAGTATGTTTGTTTCGTAATTTGAGATTATTAAAAATGCAACAGGATCATCCCTCGAGGATTCAATTAGCCTCGAATTCCAATGTACAGCAATTTCCTAAGTAAAAATAGTTTTTCCACATTTTTTTTTCCTTCTACATGTAGATGATGTTTGCTCGAAAAATTTCTTCCTATTAGGAATGTTAATTTCCATAAGACTTTTTGTTATAGGATTTACGATATAGAAATTGTACGAATTATCTCAAAGATGATGTTGTAGAAATTGTAATTGAATATGAATATCACCTCTTGCCCTAAATTAGCGAGTAATGTTATTCTTCTCTCTTGTCTAGTCAACCTGGAAATCGTAATATTCCAGTCAAGTTGAGCAACGGAACGGTACGGAAGGACGGTTTCGCCAACGACGAGATAGAATCAAAAGACGTTAGAAGAGAGGCGTTAGAAAAACAGAAAAGCTACCCCGAAGAGCAAAAGCTCCAGGTAAACTCATCCCTGTACTATAATTATTGAATTTTACCATTATACCGATATACATATGTCTCTAAATAGCCCCGAGTGACGACCAACAGGATCAATGAGCGGCGAGCCAGCAGTCCATTCCAGAATGGTAGAACTGAGGTGCTGATTGGGGAACCCGAAGGCGGACCTAGGTCACCCAGAGGCTCAACTTCATCGGCCATCAACGATGGAAATTTCCTGAATTTTCCTAGAGAAATCGACAATCCAGAACCCATTTGGAGGTAAGTCAATAAAAAATTCTCCCCTGGCATTGGATAATTCAAGAGTTAATTCAAGAGTTGAAAAGTGAATGAATATTATTTATATCTAAGGCGAATGTACGCGTGTACATTTTCATAGAAAATAACCAATTACTAAAATATTTTATTGAAAAAATCCATAGTTGAGACATTCTCTTATTTCCTTTTGATTTGTAAAATTAAACACAAGTTGGAAAATTTGAGGAACAATATCTCAATAGAGATCTCAAAATCAAATCCTAAATCCTTTTTACCTAGAATATTTTCCATTGAACATTGATCCTATTGAAGGAAGAGATTGTTTTGCAGATAAGCTGCAGAATTCTCTAGGGGATTCGTTAGATTTTGTTAAATGAAATGGTGTAATCAATCAAATAAAACCAATTGTAAAGGGAAGGAATGTTTAAACGTCTCTTCCCTCTCTTTGTGGTGGTTAGTACGGAAATTAACAACACATGATAATGCTCTTGGAATTAATGGTTTCATTTGTTATCAAAAGGTGGCGCGAGGGAGTCCCTTGCGGTTGTCTTTTGAAAAGAGAAAATTCTATAAATTTGTCTTTTGCGCCAGTTTTATTGCAGTTAAATGACCAACATCAACATGTATAAATTTTTTTTCTATAAACTATCAAAATTTTTAATATAATTAGCGCAAAAAACAAATAAAATGTTCACTACAACTCCAATAGAATTTTCCCAATTTTTAAGAAAAAGCGCTAAAATTTCATTGAAAATGTTGCTTTTTTTTCTTTTTATAATTTGTCAAATGTTGACCGGAAAATTTCCAGTCTCTCTAACGTCAAAACAACTTCAGTGTCATTGTAGTGTCAGAGTCCACTACTCTCTTTAATGAGAATTTTTTCTGCCACAAGACATGTTTCAATTCCAATGTCCAAAGATATTAAAAGCGAAAAATGAAGATAAGATGAAAAGTAGATGTATGGTCGATGTACGATGTAGTACATTATAATTGATGTTGTTTCAAGTTGCTCCCTCACCAATTTATTCATGAGGTACTCGTCGTACTTGCATGGCAGGCCAGGAACACCGTGTTTACAAATTTTTTTCTCATATTTCATGATATTTGAATTGGTTGATGAAATTGTCGAGTAAAGGTTCATGAGGTGTGGACGGGATGCATTACACTCAGTGACGCATTCTCAATAGAAACAATAATCAATGCAGCGTGAGAAGTGTGAGAATAGTTATAGTACACTCGTTGATGCGCATAACCTCGTATCGGTGAAAAACCTCGCTAAAAATGTAGGAAATAGTACACGGTCATGGTGTTAGCATTGGCTACTCTACTCTGCGGAGTCAAGTAATATACTGTCATGCTGGGTGTAAATAGGTGTAAATAGGACATTGATCCACCACCCAATTGTCATTTCAATGCATCTCTCAAGTTACATTAATGCCGATCGCGTGTCGTCTTCGTCTCATGTAACATGCCTTGGAACAACACCTTTGGAAAAGACAATGGAACTTGGCCGATCAATGGAAAACATTTTAGTTCAATTATTTTATTTTAAAATTTTCACAATAGAGGTCGCGCAATTTTCTACCATTTTTCACATGTTCTCCTTTATTCAGCAATTGTGGATCGTTCATGTATTTTAAAAAATGCATCATTACTATGTATGTTCTACGTTGAGTGACGAATTGCCTATCATTGAAAAATATTTTAATTATTAGACTTTGAGTGGACGTGACCCAAAACTTGGGAAAAAATAAATGTCGAGAAATTTATGAAAGAAAGTCTCAATATTAGAAAGATACAGTGCGAAAACTAGTAGAATTTGCAATACGAGCTGAATAGAAATTCAATAGTATTTTCTGTCGAATTGGCTAGATTTTTCGATTCATATTTGCCCCAATATTTTTCCTCCTATCAGTTCCGTGACGAGTCGTTGCTGTTTACACCACCTGATACTGAACTCGGGATCTTTAAAAGCCCCTTTTGTAGAGGTTTAGGGTTTAGAGTTTAGGGTTTGTCCCCCCTTCCACCACCTGCCTCCACCTGCTATGCCTGCTCGAAACCGTAGGGGGAACCGTGAGGGGGCCCTGAAAAAAATATGCACCTGACAACCGGAAAGGACCCATACCACCGTCCTTTCTTACTTTCCACTCTACTCTCTTTAACCATCACACATGACTCATGTATGCACATAATAGTCAAGGGTCTGCCGGCGATTGATAATCGCCGGTGGCCACGTGGGCACGAATTGGCTCGACAACTAACGCTATATCCGATAAGACTCATATAATCAATGAATCGGAAGACACATGAAGAAAATTTAGTAGAAAAACACAGCGCTTTGGCAAGTATATTGCATTTTTATTTGTTGCTCATCGTAATACAATTCGAGTGGGAGAAAAAGTTGAAAAGTTGTTGTTCAAGAGATGTTGTGGAAATCATAGACTATGAATCAATAGATTGATATCTATACTGATCTGACTAAAATTTTTTCCCACGTGAATAAACAATTTCGGAAAATTTTATCCTCCAACTATACTGCCTATTATTGTCAGTCAATGAATTAAAAATTTTCCCACTATTGACATTTGATATACTTATCTCCGAGAAATAAAGACGATGAGACTAAAAATAGGGAGACGTGTAATAAAAATCTCTCATTGTAACGACGGAAAGCCTAAGCCAGTCAAATGAAGTCAGAGGCAATGAGTACAGCAGGGGAGCTCTTGATAAGCTCCTTGATATCAGGTGCTAGTCGGCGATGATAAAGCTGACTAGCATTCCAGGCCGCCAGTTCTCATTTTCACTCTTTAATACTTACATCTCAATTAAATTTAGTACGGAGAACAATTGTTCGGTCGAAATTATTGGTAAATTTTATCATCTGTAATAGGACTCTAGTAAATGATTGAAAATATAGTGCTGGGAAAAATTGCAACTACATTATAAGGAGCATGGATTATTGTTTGGAAATAATTTCCAGCAGAGTGATTAATATTGAATTGTATTTGAGGGAAAAATGAGTCATGAATATAATAGAAAATTCTACTACTTGCGCAGTTTTACTGTGTGTTTTTTGTTATAGATAATCTCCAATATAGAAACTAGCATTTTATAGAAAGTTCAATAGAAATCCAACAAGATTCCAGGTGAAATTCAAGTCAAGTTAGATGCAATTTAAACTAGAATAAAAACACAAATTTCAAAGTTTGCCTAGATTTTTAATGAATTTTAAATTCAAGAATATTCAAGAATATAAGGTTGGGCTCGAAAACTGCAATCGAAGTGAGATTAGGATCGCCATTTATCGGGCTTTGTTTGTGACGAAAAACAATTTTTTTTAAATTCAATTTTCGAAAATTTTCACCACTCTATTGTCAGTGAAAATGATAATATTTCAATTTTTACTAGACTAGAGTTTTATTATGGCTGAATTTTAACATAAATTTTTCTCCGCAACTAGATATTTTTTTGTTAATCGTGATTGATTTTGAGAGGGGATGGCTTTCTGCACCCCTCAGTGCACGAACCGGTACTGGAATGCGGCTGTTGGATGCTTTTCCACAATCCCCAAATTTAGGTAAAAATCCCTATTTACTTGAATTCAAATATATAACAAAGAACTTTGGTAAAAATTGTAAAATTGTCATAGATATTGAAAAGTTGAAAAGAAAGTCTCCATTGAAATCTTTGCCGAATGAAAAGCGATAATCGCCTGAGAGAGGAGTTGTACTTATGTACCATGTTTTTCGAATGTAAATATTTAGATATTAATTATAATGAATAGTGTCTCTAAAATAGCCGGATTTGTCTATCGATCACCTGCGAAATTCAATATTTCATTTGAAGGACACAATCCAGTTTCACGATCAACTAATATAAGAATTTCCAGCATTTCCAATATACATATAACAGATCTATCTTGAGGGGCCGAGATAAAAAAAAAACCTTTGTAAAGTTGTCAAGCTTGCTCCCTGAATTCGGTCCTTTGTCCTCAGATGCGGCGGTATGTTTCCTCGACCCCCAGTTCTTTTTCAAGACCTCAGCCCCAAAATTGCCCCTTTTCCCCGAAATGCCGACTGATTTTTTCTTTCTCCCAAAAAAAAATTTTTAGTCTTTTATTTTCTATTAGAAAATCCCATGTTTCTCCTCTTTACGTTGTTTAGTTAGAAAACAAGATGAAAAGCAAATTTTTCAATGAAATTTTTTAATAGGCGAATTGTCAATGTCGTGTTGAAAAAAATTTTGAAAATAATACACTTTATCAAGGAAGTTGGAGTGACAGGTATAGTAGAGCAGTGCACTCACGTATATCAGGATGTCTCAGGACTATCCCAAGGTAAAAGGTGCCAAGGCTCCCTCCAAGTATAGCGTATAATATTCCCTCCTCCCGAGATAGCGTGAGAATGGGTTGTAGTTGCTGATGGTGAGCCCGTAAAACGCCACCGGATAGGATTCTCAAGACATGAAAGTCGAGTCAGACACTGAAATAATAATAAACATATTGGTGAAATGCAAGAGTGTTGGTCACCTCATATATGTATATAATATGTACAGCGAGGTGCTGGGGCGTATCGGGTTTCGCGAAACCCGTCAAAGTACCTCCAGTACAGACATTTGAGTATAGAGTTCACTCGAAATTCCAGACGTACGCATTCCCCGGTGTACACATTCATATAGAGCCCTGTTTTCTATTTCATACTCGTACTGAGACATCTGCTTACATATACTCCATTCACTATTTCCAACACTACAGTTTTCAAGGCAATTTTCGGTTTTACTTTCACATGATGGCCTTGGCATTGAGATTTCGTGGAAGGGGCATTGACATTTTCTACAAGTTTTACTGAGGAATTGTTCATTTCAATTGAATAAATTTTATTTATTTACATTGAAAATGGTTTTTTTCCTTCATGTCTGATGATGACTACTGGCACCAATAATCTCTCGAACGCTCATAAATAGCCCATTTCCCCATGAAGGAATCGGTGACTTGAATGCCTGTAGAGCAGTCTAAACGTTTTGAGACACCCCGTAGACTACACTGCAGGAGAACCAAGAGGTGCAGCCATACCGCCGACTCACATGTTTCCCTAACGGCCAGTGTCCCTTTGCCCTCCGCGCCCCTCGCCGTCATTCACTGACTCACTCACTCCACAAATGCATTCGTTCGTAGTATACTGAGGACAAGTGCTTGGGATTTGTTCTCTTCCCCCTCCAGCCACACGGCTACGGCTACGGCTCCGGCCCACTCCGCAGTGCTCAGTGTGTGGAAGCCTACAAACTCACAAACTCACATCAGTGCAAAGGCGTCCGAGCAATCGTTAACGTCATTTATTTCAAAAATATTATTATAATATAAAAATCACATTAATATAATAGACTGTCAATATTTTCGTCACCTATTGGATATTGGTAAAGAGTGCAATTGAAAAATCCGGAAAAATCAAAATTCTTCGGTAGAATATTTGAAAATTATAATCCGATTCTTTACATTCAGAATATCACGATAACGCAAGAATTTTGTGATGAATGGAGGCGCAGTAATAGCGAAAAATATTGAATCAAGTGTAACGGAACGGAGACTCGAATACCTGACGCCATCCGAGTGTCTTGACTCACATGCTTGAAAAAAAAAAAAAAAAAAAAAAAAAAA